TATGACATTTACTACAAAATGTCATTGGTTTTAGTGACATTTAGAAAAAATATCGCTTAAATAGTGACATTTAATATAAATGTCGAATATATTATGACATTTACTGACAAATGTCATTGATTTTAGTGACATTTAGAAAAAATGTTACTAAAATAGTGACATTTGTAGTAAAATGTCATTGATTTTAGCGATTTTTAGCAAAATTGTTGCTAAAATAGCGACATTTCATACAATTGTCGAATATATTACGACATTTATTGCAAAATGTCATTGATTCGATCGACATATATAGTGAAAATTTCCCTAAAACAGTGACATTTTTATACAAATATCAAATATATTATGTCATTTGTTGAAAAATGTCATTGATTTTTATGACATATGATGAAAAGTACTGTTAAACGACTACAACATTTTATGTCTACAACCACCCTAGAAAAGTGTGGCCTTTGATAAAAGGCCACACTTTTTGACTTTAAGCCACGCTTTTCCAGGGGTGACCGAAAGAAGCATAACCTTAGAGTTTAGGCGACACTTTTCAAGTGTTGCCTTATCAGCTACGCTTAAAAGCGTAACCTAAAAGGCAAAAAGGCCACGCTTTGTAGTACCTCATATAGCTTAACATTTCTATCTCATACAGCTACACTTTCAAGGGTGGCCTTTGCTTCCTTATTGCCCACGATTTTAAAGTGTTGCCTTTTCTATCTTATGTATGACAACACTTTGAAGTGTAGTCCTTGCTCATGTGCATACCACAATTTATAGTTATTTGGCTGCACTTTTAAGTGTGGTAATATTATTTTTACTATAAAATATTTATATGCCACAATTTCTAATTAAAAACATCAATATTATTTTGCAATAAATAATCTCAAACACTAAATTAGCTAATAAGTAATTCAAATATATAGATTTACAATAAACTTCAAAAGATAGTATGCTAATCATTGTTGCCTTAATCTGTGTGTCATTTTTTAAAGTGGACAACTAAATAGGGATGGAAGGAGTAATAAACAATGACTAAGAAAGACTAATTAATTATTTTTCTTGTTCTTTCCTCTAATGGAGGACAGATGGAAGATTAATAAAATATTATTTATCTTCTTAAAAGTTTTAGAGGCCCACTTAATAATTGCTACAAAACAAAGATGCTAATCAGCTAAAGGATATATTGTAGAATAATAATTTATACTCCCTTCCTTCGTTTTTATTTGTCCTAATTTTACTTGACACACCCATTAAGAAAATAATTATTAATATAGATATTTTATTAAATTGTCCCTATTAAACGATGTTTAGTATTAAGTATTGGAAAGTGACTTGGAAATAGAGTATTTAATATTGAGGGTAAAATATGGAAAAATATAATTGTCTTTTTATGATATGTCAAAAGCAACAAATAAAATGAAAATTTATTTTAGGAATAAGTGAAAGTGAACGGGAGAGTATTAATTTTATCTACCCGAGTTAAGAGGTTCGAATCAATGATTTCTTTATCTTGTCTTTTTAGCATTGCAATTAGGGGTGTATAAAATCGAACCGAAAATCGAACCAAGCCGCAAACCGAAAAAAAAACTTGACTAGTGGTTTGGTTTGACTTGATTTGGTATTGGAAAAAAAAACCCGACTATATTTGGGTTGAGTTGGTTTTAACTAAAAAAAACCAACCCGAGACCAAACCAACCCGACATTTATTAGTTTGGTTTGATTTATAAATTTAAAAATTCGACACAATGGTTTGGTTTGGTATTTGAAAAACCTGAAAAAATCCGAATTTTATTAGTTTGGTTTGGTTTATAAATTTAAATTTTTTACACAAATGGTTTGATTTGATATTTGAAAAACCCAAACCAATCCGGTCATGTACACCCCTAATTGCAATTATAACTTGATTATGTGGAGTATAGATTTCATAAGAATAATACTACTTGTTTAATGTAGAAAAAAAATATATGTTACTTAATTCTATGCAAAGCATGTTAGCCCCATAGAATCGGGTAATTTTGATAATGAAACACTTAATCGACTTGTGACTTATTGCAGGCAAATAAGGAAAGAAATGAGCCAAGCATACAACACCTAAATTATGAACTATGTCTATTTGTATAACAGATGAATGAAGAATATAAAATGATGCAACTTCATTGTTTCATTATGGCCACTGGTAATGGCTAAGAAATGATTTTTTCCCCCTCTGTTTCAATTTGTTTGACCTATTTTGACTTGACATGAAATTTAAAAAAGTAAAAAAGACTTTTGAATCTTGTGGTCTTAAACATGTCGTGTGGAAAGTTGAAGTTAAAGAGTTGCTAAAAAAAGAAAGGGTCATTCTTTTTGAAACAGACTAAAAAGAAAAGTAAGTCAAACAAATTAAACGGAGGAAGTAATTGAAAGTCTAAACCTACTAAAAAGAAAATTAGGTGAAGAGTCGGTGTCATACCAATTAGATCATTGAAATATCTCATGATTTACGGAAGAAAGTCAAACAAATTAAACGGAGGAAGTAATTGAAAGTCTAAACCTACTAAAAAGAAAATTAGGTGAAGAGTCGGTGTCATACCAATTAGATCATTGAAATATCTCATGATTTACGGAAGAAAGTCCTCATTTGCTGCTACCAATTTCACCACTTTGTCAAACATCAGTTAATTGGCAAAGAAAAGTCAAATAAGACAAAGTTAGATATATTTTCTGAAATGGTAATCACGTATAGAAAAACTAGTTAATACAAATTAAGTTTGTTCAAAAGTCTATCACGTACCTTTTGTAACAACTTTGACAGAGCAGAAAACAGTGATCCAGGTTTCACTACTTTGTTCTATACTTTTTACCAAAAAGAGATTTTAGGACTCCGGAGAGCAAAGTCCCGTACTTGCTTTCCTGACTAAATATTTTCACATGTGTGTTAATCATGGAAGACTTTGAGATCAGGAGAAGGCCATTATTGTCACTTAATATAAAGTATAATAATGAAATTAAATTACACCTAATGAAGAATAAAAAATGATTCAACTTGATTGTTGCATTATACCCCAATACATTGCATTTCATTATGGCCACTTGTGATGGTTAAGAAATGGAAAAAAAAAAGACTTAGCTCTAAGGTCACGACTCGGTATCATAGTAGATCATTGACATCCCACATTACCTTTTCATTACTACTAAATACCAACTGCCTATATAGAAAATTAGTTCACAGCCCTGCTTTTCGCCAACTTCAGAATTTTGGAAATAGAAAGGAGAGTTGACCTTACCTTAATCAACGGAGTATATAATATTGATCTTGGAGAAGTGTCTACGAAATTTACCTTTTCGTATGGTAGGAAAGATGGTTTTTCTATATATATGTTCATTTTTTCTTACACAACTCCATAGCAGCCGTTTCTCTCTCTAATTAGATCATTGAAATATCTCATGATTTACGGAAGAAAGTCCTCATTTGCTGCTACCAATTTCACCACTTTGTCAAACATCAGTTAATTGGCAAAGAAAAGTCAAATAAGACAAAGTTAGATATTTTTTCTCAAACATCAGTTAATTGGCAAAGAAAAGTCAAATAAGACAAAGTTAGATATTATTATTGTCATTGATTTCACTCATAATATTATTAGTATAGAAAGCAGAATGAGGTATACCAGTCGTATAAAAAAATAGTCTGGTAAGAAAAATAGAGCGTTAGCGATCATCTGTTATCGGAACTAGCAATATGGATCCTAACTCATTAGCTCTTAAGCTAGCCAACTTGTATAGGTGTTTCAGTACTAATTCCCATTTGAGAGAGAATTTAAACTTGTTTGTTGAATTAATCCAACACATTGACGCTGAAGCAATAGTCCATTGCATTGATATATTACACCCTATGTTCCTAAACACGTTGAATGATTCCCTGGTTAATCTAGACGTGAAGATCACTGCCCTGACGGCGATGAGTAACTTCATTCAACAGGTGGGGAGTTCAAAAGATAGGGAGAGGTTTCAGGATCTGTTGCCTGCGATGATGGACATGCTGAATAAGGCATTGGAAGAAAATTGGGAGGCATCAGCTCAGTCTGAGTTGGAGATTTTGATTGAGTTGGCCAAGAATGAGCCTAGTTTCTTCAGGGTGCAGCTTGTGGTTGTGGTGGGTTCCATGTTTGATATAGCTGAATGTGAGAGTTATGAAAAGAAAACGAGACATTTGGCGGTTGAATTCGTGATGACATTGGTTGAGGCCAGGGAGAAGACCCCTGGCATGATCAAGAAGTATCCATTGTTTACTGAAAAATATATTGCAATTTTATTGAATTTGTTAGAGCATGAGGTTTATTACCCTCTCTTGCCTGATCCTTATGATAGATGGGATATAAATGATGATTTGCCTTTTCTTAAGAAGTGTTTATGGCGGTTGTCCCATGCGCTGGGTGGTAAGACTGTTGGTCCTGTTGCCTTTGAGCAGGTCCGTGCTTACTTGGCTGACGACTCGTGGCAGAAGCCATGCGCAGCACTCTATGCACTTGCTCAGATTGTTGAAGGCTGCTCAGAGGTGTGTATTTATTGATACACTACTAAGAATTGCATTTAAACTGATTAGTTAACGATCTTGGGATAGCAGAAGGTCACCTTGATTATACTTTCTTCTGTTATTCTCTAGACTAAGTACTTTGCTTGCTCTCATCTCTTCTTCATTATAATAGGTGATGATTAAGAATATGAATCTAGTGGTGACAATGGTTCTGGATTGTATGGGACATCCTCATCCTGGAGTCAGATTCACCTCCATGGAAGCAGTTCGCGAGTTTTTGAGTTTCATGTGTCCCCATTTTCAAGAACAATATCATCAGCAAGTAGTGCCGGCATTAATTAAAGCTATGGATGATGACAGTGTACAAGTGCAGGTCTGTTTGTCCTACGATGATATGAATTCCTTTGGATGCTAGTATCATTTGTCCCAAATTACAGTTGCAAAATTTTCTTACTGAACCTTCTCAATGGCCTTAACTTTAACTTTATTAGATATAATCCCTGCTCTAACTTTACTATCTTCATATTTTCCTAGGTCAGCGTCATATGCGCGGTCACGGGCTTCCTTCGCGATGACACACCTAAATATTTGACACTTTACATCCATGGATTACTCGATAAATTGTTTCAACTGTCATTACATACTGTTGCGCTAGTACGTATTGTAGACTAAGTGCAAGAGAAATCAGATCATTTTCTTGAACAATGAACAGACAATATTACGAATACATCAAGGGAAACAACCATAATTTCCAAGTTCCCAATATAATTATCCCGCCCTCCTTTATAAATTCAAAGTTTGTTACTCCCTTGAATGTCCTTGAGGTCTTTACTTGCCTGATTTATTTTTATTTTTGACATGAAAGGTCCAAGAATCAGCGTCAGCTGTACTCCAATTTTTGGCTGACCATTTTAAGGTATTACCTAGTAATTCTGCTTCAACTTTTATTAAGAGTATGTTGTATTAAGCTGGTTATATATATATATATATATATATTAATATTAACATTACTTCAGCAAGAGTGCTATGGGAACAACTACGAATCTATTCTACCACTTTTTAAAGCTATCCTGGTACAAGCAAATTTTCCAAGTAAAGATGTAGAGATGATGATGTCATTCCTCAAACCTGGCCGTTCGTTACTTCCAAAACAGGTCTTCCACTAGTTATACCAAATGGATTCTATACATCTCACTCAACTTAGAGCTTATTGTTTATTCGTTTTCTATTTTTCTGTTGTTGACATAATGTCACTATAAGATTATGGAAGCAGTTATGTCATTACAAGGATCACAAGAGTTTGATGAGGATACAAATACCATCTTCAAGCTAGAGGTATGTGTTGTTGAGAATATCGTTAACTAATAAAATGGTGTTCTCTCTAATAGCTTAAGCTTTTAGATGAGATGGTCACACACTTCAACATGTTATCAGAACAGGCAGAGGCCCTGGGATCAAATCTCTTCGCCACCCAAATTAAAAAGAATTTCCACGTGCTAATCAGTCAGAAATTCTTTCAAGATTGGTCTCTCTATATTTCTTGATCTCATTGCAGGCTATTGGTGGATTTTGTAAGGCCATAGGGAAAGGTTTTCTTCCTTGCACCAGCATTGTCATGCCCCTTTTGTTGCAATGTGCTCAACTCGAACCTGATAAAATCATATTATCTCCAGATTCAGACCATACTTGTTTAGATGATAATACGTACGCCTTTTTGTCATGACGTTTCGCCTTTTTGTCAGATCATTGCTCTGAGTGATTGCCTTTTTATGTACATTATAACATCTTGCAGTATACACAGAGTCAAGGTTGGCGATTCAACGATATGTATAAAAAAAAGTTCCCTAAAGAAGAAAGCTAAAGCATGTGAAGTCCTAGTCATTGTTGCTAACAAATTGAACAAAGACTTTTACCCATGGATTTTCCAGGTTGTCACACTTGGACTTCTCTCTTTTTCTACCCGTGCTTTTGATCGCGAACTGAAAATTTAACAAGTGGTTTCAATGGCCTAATGCTTGATAAATGATACAGACTGCTTCAATTTTATTTCCACTTTTGAAATTCCATTTCAATGAGGTCAGGTTCCATACAGTTGAAGGTGAGATTTCTCAGGATTTCACATAGTTAATTTCTCCGTCTTTTATAACTATCTGATCACCGCCAAGACTTTTTAATTTGTAATGTTTATAGCGATGAAGCACCTTTTGCAATCTGCTAAACTGGCTGATGAGAAAGGGATTGCTCGAGGTGAAAGCCATTCGGATTTCAAGCAGTTTTCGGACAGTATAATACTGAATTTGGTGGAAGCTTTGCATGAGGTTTACTTTTAACATTAAGCTTCTTCTATTTGGATAATGAGAAAGTAACACTTTGATTTCTATATAATGCAGGAGCCTAAAACACTGCTTATTTGTTTTGAAACAGAGATATATGTAGAAATGTTGAATACATTACATGTGTGCCTTCAGGTTCGTGATCTTTAAACACTGCTTATTTGTTTTGATCCAAAGTTTTCAGTGTTTCACTATGAGCTAGGTATGAAGTTTTTGGAACTGTTGCCTTTAAGTCTATTGCTTAAAATGTTCCATTAGTATCATCGAAGTGAGAAACTAGCAATGGTGACAAAAATCGAGTTAGAATGGCAAAATAGGAATTTTCAGGTTGTATATGGTCCTTGTGTTTCTTCTTTCAGATATGTGGACCACTTCTCAATGAAGATCAGCTTCGTCCGATCGTGGATGAGATAAAGCATGTCATTACAGAGAGTTCAAATAGCCAAGGAAAACTCACAGAGAGAGAAAAAACAGAAGATTTTGATGCTGAGGAAGCTGAATTGCTGAGAGGGGAAAAACATCGACAAGATCAAATATTTAAACTTGTATGTTCTATATTAAAACAGTGATTCACTGTTGTCTTTATATATTCAAGAATTTTCACTTTGGTTCTGCTGTTATTCTTGAACACAGGCTGGTCTCATATTATGTAGACTGATCGAAACATTCAAGGTTGTTTTCTTGCCTTACTTTGACGAGTTATCATTATATCTGATTCCGATGTGGGTAAGTTCATTGACACTATTGTAACATGATGTTAGTTTATCATTATTCATATCTAGTATATCTTATTGTTTCCGATTTTTGTTAAGGACAAAGAAATGACAATTCAAGAGAGATGTACATCACTTTATATCTTTGATGGTCTTGTGAAGCATTGCTCTGAAGCAGCTCTAAAGTGAGTTTAATTTATCTGTATGAGTTTTCTTAAATTATTGGGGTGTCACCATTTTGATAAATCACTTACTTCCTATGCCAACTAGGTACTGTGATGTATTTCTACCTTTGCTTCTGAAATCAAGCAACGACGAAAACCCAGCAGTTAGACAGGTTTGGATCATCGTGATTGCTTACATTCCTGTTACTCAAGTTGGTTGCTCACAGTATGGTTTAACCAAAACACCAATGACTTCATGTTCAGAATGCTCTATATGGACTTGGGCTTTATGCAGAATATCATGGTTCTGTTTTCAAACCTTTTGTTAGAGGTATTAATATTATTGAATGTGATACTTCTAATCAAGCAAGTGTTTTTGTTAACTTACGCGTTTATGTTCAGAGGCTATGTCACGGATCAATGTAGTGATAATGCATTTACGTGCTCGTGAACCTGAGAATGAACTTGCATATGATAATGCTGTTTCTACCCTTGGTAAAATATTTCAGTTTCATCGAGAACTTATCGACTCAGCCCAGGTTTGTCCTTCTCAGAATCCCTAATGTTAAGTCTTGTTATAATTTCTGATTCTGAATCCTTGTGTAGGTCATTCCCATTTGGTTGAATTGCCTGCCTATAAAAGGTGACCTTCCTGAAGCCAAATATGTTCATGGTCAACTATGTTCCATGGTTGAAAGGTATTGGATTTGTTTGCAAACTCTAATATGTCATATCTTCATAGTCTTTAAAATGTTTTATATCAAATTTTTTCACTTGCAGGTCAGACAGAGAACTTTTAGGTCCCAAATATGAACACTTTCCAAAAATTATGTCAGTTTTTGCAGAGGTTAGTTCCATATCAGACTCTACAGATGCCAGTTTGAGTTGTTCATTTGTTCCTGATAGATATTTAAGGAGAGAAGTATTGGAAATATTCCTAAACTAGGTGTGAATTATTAGTTTTATCTTCGAACTATTGACAACCTTAAAAACACTTATTTACTTGACTAACACCCATGATCTTGCAATATGAGTGAAATACACTCCTAAATTCTCTCAAGTTTATGGGTGCTTTGAACACTTCTCTCGACTTTTTATTAAGAGTTTCATGTCTTTACAAGAGTGTATGCAATGTGGCAGATCAGATATGTATCTAAGTTTAAGCTAGTCAAGTAGATGGGTGTTTTTAAAACTGTCACTAATTTGGAGACGAAACTAATAATTTGTGCCAAGTTTAAGGATGTTTTCAACACTTGTCTCGTATTTAATCAATCATGAGACATTTTTGGACCAAACTATTGACCTAAAGATATTTTTATTCGATGTTGTATAGTTAATTTAGTTTTGCTTTTTAAGGTTTTACGTGGTGGAAAACATCTTGCTACAGAAGAAACAGCAAAGTGTATGATTAATCTGTTGAGGAAACTTGAGAAAGAAGTAGCACCAGACACCTTGATATCTGCATGGTCATTACTATTGCCTAAGCAGGAGATGGAACTGAAATCCATTCTATTTCCTGGCATACTTATAAACCACAAAACATTTTTTGTGCTTGGCAGTAATTTCTCAATTGTCAAATTTCTTGAGGAAGAACTCCAGAAAAATATTACTAATGTTCGACGAATGTGACTTATAAACCGTGTATTGTATCTTTAATTTAGTTTTGTTACAGAATAATGTATAGATGATACTATAGTTGATTTGTGGGAATTTGAATATTTAATTACCATAATTAGACTATTCTCACTTATTTATATCTTTGTATTCTTTGAGTAGTACTCCCTCCATTTCTATTTATATGTCGTCCTTTTCTAAGGATAGATAATATTTAATATTTGACATTTCACAAAACCAATACATAAATAAAACGATTCTTTCTATTTTTACCTTTAAAAGCTATTAGCCTTGAAAGTATGAATTTGACCAATATAGGAAAACTAAATGATTAGATCATTTTCATTGATCAATTTAATTAATCAAAATAAATTAATTTATATTCATTTGTTGAAACTTGACTTCAAGAGATCACTAAATAAGGATACACCAGTCAATTCACCTAGACGTGAAATCTAAAATTGTGGCATATAAATAGAAGTGAGGGGGTAGATAAGAAATTTTATGTAACTTCTCTTGTTTTCGTGGTATCAGAGCCTAAGGGCTCAAATCTTTAGATTCTCTAAAACAAAATTTCAATAAGGGGTCTACAGTATAAATAAAATTTTAATATTCAAACATTTCAATATTATTTAAATTAATTTACCTTAGAGATTGACATAATTCGAAAACCAAATACCGAATAAATAATTCATAAAACTGAAATTATCATCGCCGGACCAGTGACCACTAGTACCTCCAAACAACTCAAAAACAAACTACCACCCGATCACACCAAATCGGTCGTTACATGAAATGAGACATTTCATGGTAACGATGGATCTAAATGATACAATACAATAAAATTTAAGTAACAATCAACATAAGTATTGTATTTAAACTAACTATACAATATAATGGGTAACAACCATCCAAACAAGGTGTTAATGTAAAAGCATACAGAATATCATATAATAAAGTTCATATATCAATGCAATGGATCCATTGAAAGAAAGTATTTTGAAGTACACACAAAACTCAAAAACAAGAAAATTATCCATCTAGATGGATATGATTATGCATAATGAACAGAGGAAACAGCTTAAGAGAAAAACTGGTCCATTAGATCCCCTCTTTCAATCGCGATCTTCTATTTCTGCACAGCAAAGAAACACTTCTCAAATATATTTTACGAAAGATTTAACAGGTAAAAGTGTACAAGCTCAAAATATGATGCAATTAATCTTGAGTCAGTTACCTGTTAAACCAGTGTTGCAGTTTTTTATATGCAAGGGGTAAATAAGGACCTTGAGCTCTGCATTTCCATATTCTTCTTGCACTTCTTGAATGTCCTTGACTGACTTTTCAAGAGACTCACCACATCGTTTCACTTCAACTATCTTTAGAGTAGGAATATCTCCAATCATAGAAGGAATTTCTTGAAGATTAAAGCAGTTTTCTACCAGAAGCTGTTTGAGGTTAAGCAAGGACTCATTTGAGGCATTCCATGTTGTTATTTTAAGGGAACTTAATTTAAGAACCTTGAGGTTCAGAAACTCTTCATCTTCGATCTCCCATTTGTCCTGCTGAAATGCTCTATGTTCCAACTTGAGAACCACTAAATTTGGTAATCTTCCGATATTAGACAGTTCACTTTGTGGCAACAAAACATCTGATAGAGTTAGCTTTGTTAGTGTCGCGGGCAAGGTGAAATTCAAAATCTTACCATTTACACTGAGTGTTTCAAGTTGAAGAGCATCTAATTTGAGTTTGAGAGGCTCTTTACAGTGGCATTTGAGCTTTCGCAGTCTGCTTGCCTTCTTGACCATGTAGTCTACTAGCTCATTAGTGAGAGACACTGTGGCCAAAGTCTCTATGTTTGTCGATGTCTGAGGAATGCGTCCATCAAAAGATGCAACAGGTTCAACATGTACATGCTTTAGCCTTGGCATATTCCAGATGGTCATCGGTAAAATTGTGCCACTGCCTACTGTTATTACAAGCAATACCTCTAGGTTTGAAAGGTTCGATATCCATAATGGCATAGATACCATATAGCCTTTGATTCCTAAGTACTTCAAATGGATCAGCTCTTTTGATCTCTGGAATGAACTGTCTGACATAGGACATTCCATTTGTAGTACTTTTAATAGTTTAAAGTTCTCGAGATCAAGAAATTCCTGGCAGCCAGATTTCGGGGGTCTGAAGAATGCAGATCGAACTTGCATGTTTCCAATCTTCCCTGCCCAATAAAGGCTATGATGAATGCAAAGCCTCCGGTGCTCATAAAAGGAACTAGACAAATCAGTCTTCCCGGTGCTTGTTAGTTGCATAAACTTCTCTTCCTTAGACTTTGTCATGCAAAAATCATGTAACATATCATGAATGTGGCATGTTCTGACTCCTCCAGTGGACTTTCTCTTGCTCACCATTATCAAGCTTCTACCAATGAGATCATTCAGTAAACTTTCTACAGCAAGGTGTATACTTTCTACCTCTATGTTTGGCACCAATCCCTCAATAGTCCATAACCACTCCAAGTTCGAGAGTGGAATTTCTTCATCCTTTTGAAATGATGCAAAATATAGAAGGCAGGGTTTGAGATGATCAGGCAAGTGCTTGTAGCTCAGTTCTATAACCTCCATGCACTCTTTTGCACTAGTAACAGTATCTAACTTTATACTTTCTGCGATTCTTCTCTAATTTTCCTCATTTTTGCTTATCCCAGACAAAACTCCAGCAACCAAAATCACAAGGAGAGGTAGTCCTTTACACTTACTCGCGATGTTTGCTCCACTTTTGATAGGTCTGGTGGGCAAGTTTGTTCCTTGAACAGCTTGATTCTCATTAGTTCCCAACTTTCATTTTCGTCAAGGAAACGAAGGTGAAGAGGTTCTCTATCAGGGTTAATTTCTGAAGCCACATCGCTGAGTCTGCTAGTTAATAAAATCCTGCTTCCGTTATTATCATCCGGGAAGCATCCTCTCAAGTCATCCCATGTGTCAACACTCCAAATGTCATCAATGTAGAGAAGGTACCTCTTCTTTTTTAAGAATTTCTGCAAAGCATCTGCTGGATTTGACTCATTCTGTTGATTGGAACTTTTAACTTGATTCAAAATTTCAAGCAGCAACTTTCTCCTGTCATAAGCTTGGGAAACACAACACTTAGCTTTGACATCGAAATGACGCCGCATTTTCTCATCATGAAAAACTTTCTTTGCTAGTGTAGTTTTTCCAAGACCAGGCATCCCTACGATAGACACAACATCCAAGTACTTTGGTCCTCTAGTGAGCCAGTTGATTAGCAAGTCAATCTCGTCCTTAAAACCCACCATTACCTCATCAAGTTGTGTAGTCTCAACTACTTGTCTGACAGGATTTGGTGTTTGTTCTTCAATAGGGACTTCAACTTCTCGCGTAATCGTAGCATGGAACTCTTTCAAATGATTCCTTACAACCTTAGTTTCTGTTGTGATCTTACATAACAAATGTAGATACCAAACAGGATAATCTCCGGTAACCAGGCAATCAATTATGCATTCTGCCTGGTATGCTAGAGATATGACTTCTGTCCATAGATCATGTTTCTTCACCTCCTCAAACTCATGTTTTTTCTTCTCAACTTCCTTCAAGAAGTCTCGTACGAGACATAACTCTTCCTGAGCTTCTTCAATAAGATGCTTGACAACAGAATCACACTTTCCGTCTTGCAGCAGCTCTTCCAGATAGCGTAAGAGGGAATCGATAAACCCCAATCCATTTGTCCTAGGAAAATTACATTTTGATGACACTACATCTTTCAGAATCACATCTTTTAGATCTTCCATGACATGTTCAATCTTTTTAACAAGTCACTGAATACCGAGTTAACTTCTGCTGCTTTGTCAACGGAGAAAGAGAAAGCAGCAGATACTACCTCAGCAATCAGACCTTCAATGCAAGTAAGTTTGTCACTCATTTTTTCCTGGATAACATATAAATCTTCTGGTGGACAAATGAGCAAAGTTACCAATTGCTTTGATGCTTCGGCAAGGCTTTTGATTTGATCCTTTTTAAGAGGAAGCATCAAAGAACATGCCTCACCGTCTGATAACTCCAACAAATCCTTGAAGATGAAATGAACAAAACCTTCAACAAATTCTATCACATCCCGGCTGTATTGGATTTGCAATTTAACTGAACCTCTTAGAGCTCCAGTATAGATTTCTGCAATGTGCGGATCAATGGGCTTGATATCTTTCAAAACATGAGAGATTTG